AATTATAGGGTTCTCCCAACGTAAGTCAGGTCAGTGGAGAGCCTTAACTGAACATGTGAGACATATAAACATTAAGTCAGAAATGCATTAGGGCTGTTTTAGAGAAGTGCTGAAGAAAGAGTTGCAGTTCTGCAGTGCTGCTGTCAGCACCAGCTCAGTGAAATAACTTCTGCAGCTCATGAGCTCATTTCCTCACTGCACTTTTACATCCGAGCACAACTCCAGACTTACTCAGGCAAGACGGGGGAATACTCGTGTCATCTGTATCAGCGTCTGTTCTCTCACTCTTTCTCTTTCTTCCCTTTCTTCTTTCTCTGTGCTTCAGCTAGGTAATATTATTCATCACTTTGAAGAGGTGAATTATACATAGAGATTACATAAAGTAAGATGCAGCATCTCATGAATTTCACAGCGAACACATTTCCTCTTAATAATTAATGCCTATTGCGCAGACCAAAAATGAGTTTGTAGAAGATCTCCATAAGATTTGATTAGCCATAAAAGTGCCAAATGACATTAATGGTAATGATAAAGCTGCCATACAGGCATGAGACCGGAGTCTGATCCTTGATTATGCCTCATTTTTTAATCAAAATCTATGAAATATCAGTCTGATTGCTTTGCTGTCAGAGTGCTTTTCTCTAGATGGATGCTGAATGAACCTGCAGTATGTAAATTATCGTTTTAATTATTTTAATTGTATTTATTTATTCCGCTGTTACTGTGGTTACTGTTGTTACTGTTAATTGAATATCCTCTGTTGACAAATAGTTGCCTTGTTAACACATTTGCAGTGAATTAAAACTTGTAAACATGCTGTTGAAATGGCTGAACATTTACATTAATGAGACTCTGACGGACTTCATGTAAATTCACTCAGAGTGTTAAAATACCTTTGAAGCTATAATGGGTTGGAGAGGCAGAGTATAACATTGTATTTTTGATTAATTCATTCATTTTGGTCTGACTGAAAAAAAAAATTATGTTTTTAACTCTGTTTATATGTAGTAAAGATACTTGATCTCATTATGTTTTGCTTTACTAGAAAATGTGATACTAAAATGACATTCATTGTTGTGTATGTGTGTTTGTGTGCGCGTGCATGTGTGTTTAGTTGTGATTGAAGTCAAGGTGGTTCAATGTAAATGAATGTAAGTGAATGTAAATTCATTAGCCTTTAGATTGTTTTTCAGTTGTTGTTGCTCACATGTACTTGACATTATGTAAGTTTGTGACCTGAACACTGGCACCTAGCTAAAAGAGAAACATTGTTTTTCTGTGAACAGTGAAGAGCACACTGTACTATAGTATAATGCATACATCTGTTTCACATGGAAGGCATAGTAGAATTTAGAGTCTTCTGCCATGTTAAAAGTCATTTTGTTTTTACAATTTTGTTTAGTTTTTATTATTTTATTTTTAGTTTATTATTTATTAATGTAGCTATATTTCATTTCTTATTTAATTTATATTTTTATTTTACTTTCAGATTGAACCATAATGCTTTTTTAGTTGTTATTTTTATACAAGCTACTATTACTGATATAGCTGCAAAGGTTTACGACTATGTTCTACAGCTAGACATAATCTGCGGACATTTTTTTGCTATTTCTGTTCAGAATTTTGTAAAAAATCTGTGGATTTATGCAGAGAGATTTTGGGAGTATCATAACTAAAAACTTAATATATGAAGTAAACAATAATATATTTTTAACTTTTATTGTTTTCAATGCAAATCAAATTAGATCAACTTATTTTGGAAACAAAGCAAGCCTCTCAAATAATAGATCTACTAAAAGACAGAAAATATGACTTTACAAACTGTATTGTAAATAAATCATAAACATTTTTATATTATTCAAAATCATTACTGAAAATAATTAAAAACTCAAAAAATTAAGATGTACACATTTACACAAGTTAATAACTAGACTCAATGGTATAGGCTAACAATCTGTATTTCTGCGCTAGCAGATCCTGTATTGGCATAATTATACCCCAGCACAAAATAATACAAAATAAAGTAAATAAAAAGGTAGAATATTGAAATATTTAAAAAATATAGTTTCAGGTTTGTTGATAGCTAATCCAAAATTATTTAAACACTTATTAAGTAACAGCAAAACAAAAGTCTGTGTAAGCTACAGTACTAGCAGAGCTGACGCACAGATTTAGTTTATATGACACTGAAAGCCAGTGCTTTAACTTTTGTCATCTATCTAGAATAGCTGTGTTCTTCCTGTACAGATTGCAAAATCCATTCAGAGTTTTGAAAATGGAGTTAGTAGAATTCCACATTTTAAAGCACTTATATGAAATAAAAATAAAAAATAAAACCAACACCACAGCATGTGGTAAGATAATAAAATAATGTTATTTCCAGTGAACTCTTTTTGCTTATTTCTCACACTGCCTGCATCAAATGCCACAGGCTAGAGGTCATTCACAAAACTGGCCTTAGCTGTGATCTGTCATGGGCAGGAGCGTCTTGTCATCCAACTCTAATATGTCTTAAGAGTGACATTCTTCTGAAACTGCAATTTTATGTTATTAAAGAGATTATTAAGGATTTTTCAGTGCAAAACATGGCGGTAAAGCTTCTGAACTTTATGGTAAGTATATATTTATATATGTTTTTGAACCATAGCCCACTATAGGAAAGTGTATTAAAGTATACTGTAACCTTTTCACAAAATGGTCTATATAATAGGGGGGAAATGTTCTTCACACTATAAAAAATGGATTTTAATGGATTTTTACTGAATATTGTTTGTGAGAAAAAAAAAACACTGTGGAATCACTACAAAATATAAACTTATTCAGATCATTTGAAGAGTTCAGATGGAAAAACAGCTGAATGCCGTCAGAAATGTTCTTCTAAAATGAGCATTTTTATCAGGCTCTAGTTTATTGGTTCAGTAATTTCACTTTTATGGCGAAGAACAAGTTCTTTTCATGGTCTTCAAAGTGAAATAACTCAAAACAAACAAAGGAGGCTTAGGATAATGTGTAGTTTTGATGTAAATTTCAGACAGCACTTTTTATTTTTCAAAGCCTTTTCCTGACAGCATTTGTTTGTCTAAAACTAAGAATCTCCAAAGCTTTCTAGTGATTAAACACATGCTTTTGTGATGAACAAAGATTATTTTTGTGGTGGACATCTGAGTTTAATCCCATCAGTTTTATCCTATGAACCTGAAACTGCTAGCATTTGTATGTGGCATCCTCAAATATGGCCCAGGAGATCCACTTTACTGCAGTTTAGCTCTTACCCTCATCAACCTCACGCTAGATTCACATGGGGTGTTGGCATCAGTGCTGGCATGATCGTCATGGCAACCACCAATTACATTGGAGTAACACAACTCAAAAAAGGATGGCTTTTGACAGCTAGTCAATAATAAACAGAGTACATGGACATGTCTTGCACTTAAGCAATGCAAGTGTCCATTGTTGCTACACAATATGTTGCCTTTCTGTTGCAAATTACCATGAAGTGTAAAAGCAATTTACAAAATGACCTTTGGATTAATCTCCACTGCAAACAAACTGATATTAATTCGGACAGCACATAGTTAAATCACCTCACAACCTCAGTGTTTGTCAAAAACACAGTAGGCCAGGGATATTCACGCAAGGTGGGAGAAAAAAAAACACACCAACATTCTGGATTCAGACTGCCATGAAGTCACCAACTACCCCCTGTGAATTGTGAAAATTCCATATGTAACCCTAAAACAATCGCTGTCCAAACAGGACTTAAGAGTGTCAATTCTAGCATCAGTGTGCAGAATTATAAAGCATGATGTTTAGAGTTTCTTCACAACGCTGTTAAGTGCAACAAGAGGCTTCAGGTCATAATGGAGCATTTCTGTCAAGCGAGGACTGCAGTGAAATAAACAGAGAGAAAGCAGAAGGGATGGAGGACATAAGAAAGGTGAAAAGAACAATGACTGAGCGAGAGATAAGGCTGATTAGAGGATAGGGTGATAAGATGAGGAATAGTTTGTGTGTGTGGGACAATGACTAGAGAGTCTGACAGCTTGAAAGAGTCAGCTTTTTCTTTTGACCCTTCTTCATGAGAGCGATAACACACATGCCGTCAGGATGCAGGGAAACACTGAGCTGCCATTGATTTTGCCTGGATGAGATTGAGGGAGGGATAGAAGAACTAGAGGGCGGAGGTGAGGTGTTACGGTTGATTCTGCGAATGTCAGCGTTTTTCTGCAAGATTTGATGTGCGTGAGTGTGTGTATAACTGCACTTGTTTTCCCTTAGGGCATCTCGCCTGTAATTTCCACCAGCACATCACAAAACTAACTTTCGCTGATCATTATCATATTTCTTAAACACGACTTGACATTTCTGAATATTGCATATCGAGTGATCTCCATTGGAGCTAATCAGTCTCTACAAAGTCCTGGAAGTGCTGAAGCACTGATTATAGTACATATGGGGTGCGGAGAGAAGCAGGCGTCTCGCCAAAATCCCCTCTGGCGCTCACAAAAACAAGAACGTGTTGAGGATATTTGGCATCTGTCACCAACTTTAAACTGGCTTTGGTTTTATTATTATATTTTTCCCTGAGACAATTTTTTTTGTCCTTTCACACCTTGTTTTGCAATATCAAGAAATGCCTGACATTGTGTTATGTTGCGTTTGACATTCTGTTTTTGCTCATTTCCCGCCCGCGTCTGCTTGTGATATATTCATATCTACGGCGAGTTTAGTATTCCTGTAGCGGTTTGGATTAAACCTGGTCCAAGTAAACCTGTCTGGGCACGCAGCCCAAACAAAGCACAGACTGTAGTCAAAGTGTCATTGGCTGTAATGAGTGTATTTGTATGCTAAAGTCTCCTCTGTCAGGGAGAGTTATGGTTGCATGGGTGTCGCAGGCTCTAGGCTGTCAGGATGTGTCATCTGTATATACATGAAGTGGTCGGAAGGTGTAATGTGGTGTCATGTTTTATTTTTTAATTCTCTTTCTCTTTCCTTTGCAGCTCTTAATCTGCTCGGCTTGAATTGGCGGCTGAAACCCACTGAAGGGCATCTAGTGAACACTGGCCTCAGCATGAGTATTCCTGGCATCGGCGACGTGGCAACAGTGCCCTCCGGAGGCAGAGGTAAAAGCCAAACACATGCCAGAACCCTGAAACACAACAACGTGAAATCCAAATCACCTGATGACATGACATGCAAACCCTCTGATAACATGGAATCCAAAATGCCCAGCTGTCTATAGTTTTATTATGCACAGTTTGAATGCATGCTATCGTAATGGGGGAAAGCTTCATCAAGTATTAAAATGATTAATATGGTAACTATGCAATGACTTATTACTGGTAATGTAATAAATTAAAAGCTGTTTTCACATTTCAAGTCTTAGGCTAGATTTTTAAAAGACGAAATTTGCTAAGGAGTCCTTTTTTTATAGGGATGCACCGATATGGATTCTTTAGCTGATATCGATAAACAGATTTGGAGGCTGATAACCGATATATTTGTCGATAAATTAAAATATTTTAAAATGTTATATTTTTATACAGTGAACAACTGATTTCATTTTAAAAACTTGATAAATGTTTGAACTGATCTTATGAACTGAATGACCAACTCAAAGCAAAAAAAGCAATCATTTCAAAACTGCAAGGTGATTATATAGACCAGGGGCCTCATGTATCAACGCTGTGTATGCACAAAAACTTTGCGTACCCCATGTTTCACGCTTACATTTGAATTTACTAACAATGAAATTAACGTGAGAATGTGTGTTGGTTCACGCCCACTTCATGTCTGGCCTACGGGCATTTTTATGTGTGTTTGTTTTATTTCTATTGGCAACTCCTAGAGGCAATTATGTTAAATTGCACACTACAAAGTATCTTTCAGCCGTGCATTGCCAGCCATATGGAGGTATGGGTCAGGATCATCCTCATGTCTAGCAGGTATATAAGGTTTCCATACTATGCTGTTAAAAGTTAGTTTGGCGTTTGACATTCATTAGACGTTCGATTTCAAACCAATTAAATTTTTTGCTCCTGTTATAGTTTGAGCCAAAAATAGGTCAGATAGGCATACATATGTGCCCTTTACATTACGCAATGCTTACTTTCTCAATAAAAAAATAACCATGCGAATAAATTAAACAATTCAACCAATTCAATTATAAATTATACAATAAAACCAGTACAAAAATGTTCAGAAAAACATCCTGCTTATTTTAATTAGCACTTTATTTATTTTATAATATTTTGTAATATATTTTAATGTAAAAAAAATATATTAAAATCAATTAAACTCTGACACCATTTGAGATAAAACCTTCAAATCATTTCTAAAATTGTGTGTCATCCACAATTAAAGCAACTCTCTCCTCAAAGGGTGTTAGTTTAGCATCCCATGTTCCCCCGCCTGTTCGGTGTGCACTTTGACAGAGGTTCTCCGCTTAACCTGCACCTGTACATCAGAGCATTTCTTTTTTTAATTGGTTCACAGTGCAATGTTTAGATCCCACTGCGTTAACAGCATCAGCGAAACTCTCCCTCTCTAATTTTTTTTTCTTTTGTTGTTAATTCCGGAGGACAAACTTGCAAATAACAAAGTTTTTCTCCAGTCTACCTCCGATAGGAGCACCTCCAATTAACTGTATGTGAAGTTTCTCTTCTTGCTTGCTTTCGCCATTGCTTTTTCGTTTGGTTTTGCGAAAGCAGAGTCATTACCATATTTTTAGGGGGAGGAGGCAGGGAGAGGTTTTGCACTCGTTCACGTGTGCCCAGTTTCACTTCAATTCAGATGTACAAAGAGAATATGCGTGGGATTCCACGTATGCAGTGTTTCGAGCTTATACCGAGGCTAATACTCACACACACTAGATTAAAGGTGCAGTAGGTGATCTGCCAAAATGCTAACCGCTAAGCATATTATCCTTGGACGACATGGAGGGACTGTGATTCAAAGCCACACCCCCTGATATCGTGAGCGCGCGGACTGCGTCACAACAGCAGACAGACAACCCACTAGTTCATGTCATTCGCCAGTTAGTTAGTGCCAGCGCCGTGCAGGAATTACATTTATTACTTAGCCACACTTACATGCTATTTCAGAGCGAATATTCAGAGTAGCATTGTAAACAGTATAGGAAGGCTGTTATTGTTCAAAAATGACCCAATGTGAATATAAAAGCAACTTCAGCTCAATAAAGCAGGTTAGGCGGAATAGCGCTATTTACTGGTGTTTTGTTGTTAAACTAAATGTAAATCTATCTATAAATCATTATCGATGCTGTAAAAGGACCTTATGAAACTGAAAATAATCACATCAATCTTTCACCCGGAGATTTCAGTGGCTGAAAAACATGTCTGTGCATATAAGTCATTCATAACAGAAATCAATCTAACATAAGCTTAGCCTGACTAAAATAGTTTAAAAACAGAACATTACCTGTCTAACACTAATACTTCAGCCATGGTGTCGTCCTTCCTCCAGCGTGCTAAAGGAACTCAGATATTGATTTGGGTTTTTAAAAGTTTCAGTTCAGCATTTGATTTCTCCCGGTCTGTCTCATGACTGCGCGGGCGCTTATGCAGTCGGGCACACGCGAATGGCATATCTGCGTGAACAAATGCACAGAAGTCTGAATCTACATTTGCTGACAGACAGTCTGAGCTGCTTATCAGTATTATTTGAGATGTCGGTCCGACTCTTTTTAATTGGATGAACATTTTTTAGTTTTATGCTTTACCCAGACAATAAAAATACATATAAACACATTTAGATCATTTACTGTAATCATTACTATTGGACTGTGAAGAGACTTTCAACCAGCACAACAAAAAATGTTTCTGAAGACAATCACCTACTGCACCTTTAACTATAGCACAGGGCTATACACATATTGCATCTTTTTTGCGCACAAGTTTGTTATTTCCAATATTAGAATATATGCCAATATACATGCGCAAGCAGAGCGATGTACTCACACCTTCCAGACACCAAGTAGAAAACATTTTACGCCGCTGAGGTTTAAATGTGTGAGCGCTTCAAGCGTTTAAAGCTGTTGATTCTCAAAAAAAGAGTCGACTCAGAGTCATTTGTATGAATCATCTTGGTTCCAAATCTCTAGTCATTTAGTGTAAAAATATTCATGAAAGTGTCAACATCAAAGCTATAAAAATATGAATTTATCAACTTTAAAAAGCTATCACAAAGCATGTGACATTTCAAGCACACCAGCTCTTTATCAGAAATTATTGATCACAACATGTTGTTCATGTGATCCAGAGGTGTATAAAAGATCTCACACACTATCTCACAACAAAAAGATAAATAAACATTTATAAATTAACAACTAACATTTTTATATATTTAGCCATTTAGCAATTAGATGGGATTGATCATGATTGACGATTAGTGATTAATGATCACTTTGAGATGGCAAGAGATGCAGGTTGGGGGGAAAATGGTTAAAGTTCATTTTCACAACAATACCACAGTATAGCCAAGCCAACTTTGCTCCAATGCATGCAAAGGATGGGTTTGGAAAAAATTAATCATCAAACAAATCAAATTGGAGTCATTGAGATACTTAAGTAAAAATAAATGCATATTATAAGAGAATTAAAGTGTTTTTTGTTGATGTGTGCATATCAGTCTTTTTTGGAGACCCCTAAACCAAAATATGACCTTGTATAATGCATAATGTGGGCTCTTTAATACCAATAAAGAACATTTATTTTTAAGAATGCATGTTCACACTTGCATTTACATATTATATCCAGACAGCTTTCTGAAAGTCTGGACAGCCAAAAGTAAAAAAAAAAAAAAAAAAGAAAAATCATGACAAACCAAGACATACATTTCAAAACTGGTGAAGGAAATGCTGGAAGTATTCACACACACAAAGCATAACTGGTCGTGACCACAGCAGAGCCATCACAATGCTGTATGTACCAGTCATGATGCAGAACTCATCTGTCGCCTCAACAATGGAGAAGTTCTGAACTCAATTTGGCAGGATGGTAATTTGGAGAGCGAGATGACGCATTTTTGTTTTTCCTCTGTCCAAAATGTTTCGAAAGCCTTGTCACATATGTGGACATGCATTGTAACGCATGTTGCCTATTGTTGGTTATTTCTGGACACACAAAAAGAGAAAAATTAAATTAACTTTTTGTTTATTAAATACAATAACTATATACTAATAAACATACAAACAGTTTAATACAGCAAAGCTTATTTTCCAAATCAGGTCTTAGTCAACATATATTCATGTTGGCTTCAATTCAAGATTTCTTTTTATGATCAAAGTACAATTTTGGTTTTATAAGAAGCAGTGTTGGGGGTAACAAGTTATAAGTAACGCTTTTTATGTAATAATATTACCTTTAAAAAGTAACAAGTAATATAACACATTACTTTTATGAGTAAGTAATACTATTTGAGTTACTTTAAAAAAAATGAAACTCAGTTACTTTTTTAGCATGCGTAATTGGCCAAGATATAGTGTGGAATAAAGATTACCTTAGTCAGGTTGAATCACACACTCAATGAATCAAGCACTCATCATCAGGTGTATTTTTTACAGCAGATGAGTGAGTGTACTGTTCTAGTAACTGAATAGCTCAGAATATTGGTTTATTTTGAGTCAGAGGCGGTATCCGATATGTTAGTACTTACTGAAGATGCAAACTGTTTCACGACAACTCCATTCTATTTAATGAACTGGTTCAACTGGATCACCTAGATTTTTACAGTTTTTAAGTTTTAAAATAAACGATTCATTCGCGAATCGCCCATCATCACTACAGATAGTCAGAAACAGAAACAATGGCAGGCCGGAGACGTATGTTTTTTTAATGGATTCTTGTTTTTTTTTTTAACTCATCAAAGAAAACTAGTGGATTATTGTTAAATGTAGATCATAAGTAAAACTCTTGACAACTGCAAGAAACAAAAATCTGAACACGGAGCACTACACCCGCACCACACCTCCCGTTAAACAACAAATGATTGACATTACTGCTCCTTCTACAGGTAAAACAGTTAATTCATCTAAACTAAAAAAAAAATTATATTGCTTTCATTGTTGAGAAGATGCAGCCACTGCCTAACGTTACTGTAGAAG